GAGATGGGAGGATTGCTTGAATCCAGGGAGGTGGAAGCTGCAATGAGCCAAGATAGCCTGGACAACAGAGTGAGACTCTGTCAAAGAAGAAGAAAGGAAGGAAGGAAGGAAAGAAGGAAGGAGGGAGAGAGAGAGGGAGGGAAGGAAGAAAGGAAGGAGGAAAAAGAGAAAAGGAGGGCTAGAGAGAGAGAAATGGTTTCAAAGAGAAAGAAAGAAAAAGAAAGAAAAGGAAAGAAAAAAGGAGGGCTAGAAAGAGAGAAATGGTTTCAAAGGAATACTATAACACCTGTTACTAGATTCCAGCCTGGACTTTTGTTTTTGAGTGTATATTGAACCAGTGAATTATTTCTTGGCTGTAATAATCCTCTAAAGACAAACCAGGTTATAATTTTTCTCATGATTTTAGTTTGTGCCTTATAGAATAGCTTCCTTTTTCTGCTCTGACATACAAAAAGTCTTTTGACTGTCATATTATTAGTGTTATTTATATCTCCTTGTTTTATTTCCATGGAAACCAGAATCATGGTATTCTGAAGACTAGAGGTGTGAATTTCCCTCATTTGGGATCCCACTGGTTCCTATCTACTTTTCACTGCAAATTCCCTGCTGCTAAAATAATATAAGCACCTCTCCTCTGGGCCCAGGGACCTATAGCAGAAGAGGTGGGCATGTGAGATTGTAAGGACCAGTTTTGAGAGAATTAGTTCAGACCCTCAAATCAAGTGTGGGTACACAGATGCCTAAACAGCTGGCAAAATAAAGGACTCTGCCTCCTGGGTTATTACGTGTGTGGCACCTTTTCCTCTATCCCAACCATAAAGAATCTCCTGCCTCCCAACGAATTAAAAGAAAATTATTACTGAGAGGATATAAAGATACCTACCTCATGTCAAAGCCTCTTAGGTATAATACTCCTAGTTATGAAATATATACAGGTAGATATATATATATTTAAAATTTTTGAACAAATTACTGAAAGACCACAAAAAGCATTGTAGGCTGGGCGCGGTGGCTCAAGCCTGTAATCCCAGCACTTTGGGAGGCCGAGGCGGGTGGATCACGAGGTCAAGAGATCGAGACCATCCTGGTCAACACGGTGAA